TGGTTTGCTTGCAAATTTAATTCCACTTACTTCATATTGCTTAAATGTTCTTTCTATTTTATAAATTAAATTTCTAATATATGTGACGCTAAAATATTTTTTAGTGTTGTTTTCATTATATTTTTCATTTTGCCTTATAATGTCATGTACATCGTTCATGGAAGTTTTCAATTTTATACCATTTTCAATTTTAAAATGATTTGTTATTGAATTCATATTCTATATGAAATTTATTATATTGGTTTACTTTCTCGCTCTTATTATTACTAAAAGAAACTATTAGAAAACTGGTACCTTAATAGAGTAATAAATAAATTGTGGTATAAAAATAAATAATTAGTTTAAAATAGCAATAGTAACAAACAGATAAATGATATTAGTGGTAATAAGAGCACTAATAAGTTTCAATAACAATGAAACTGACAATATGTGGGATGACACATAATATGGTAATTTAACATTATATAAATCTTTTAATAAGAATAAATTTTATAATAATACAGTAATATAATGGTTAAAAATAGACATGATGAGTATGATACTGGATATTATGAGAAGATGCGAGTATTTTACCTAAAAAATATAATGGACAAGTACAAGATAGGTACTTTTATATTTTGAAATATGAGTCTTTTAAAACGTATAAATGATTGTAAATTGAAAAACTGTTTTTAGACTAGAAAATGGCGAATTGTTGTGGTAGGATTTTGAAGCGAAAACATCGGTGTAAATAAAAAAATTAGAAACTGAAATATTATGCACCAAAATAGAAGAAAAGAATTTTGAGAATTTTATGAACTAGGAGGCCAAATAACGATCCAGAAAACGTGCAGAAGGACGGAATGTGGAAGAATTTGCAGTTGTAAATATAATAAACGGTAATGTAAACCTATCATGTACTTACAAATTTCTTAATAAATTTACAAAAATTTTAAGGATAAATAATAAAATATAATTTATTTTAAAAAAGTAAATACTCGGACACGATACCTCAACACTTGCCAAAAAAAAATTTGCCCTTGGAAAATCTTTTTAACACCTTATTTCTGACAAATCACAAATAAAAAACAAATAACTTATTCAATAAATTAGCACCACCATATTGGTGGTGTCGGCATCGAATCTTCGGGTTCGTTAAGCCTTTTATTATTATTAATAAATTAGCAAAAGATTGTCTATTGAACTTGAAATAAAACAATATTATTGGGCGCTAAATACATATAATAAAAATCATGAAATCTTTTAAAATAAATTAAAAAATATAAATTTGAAAGTATATCATGATGTTGATAAACTAATTTTAAATAACAAAAATAAATATGTTATATTTTATATGATATAATAAATTAAGATTAGAAATTAAAATTAAAAGACCATATAAAGCCCAAATTAAAAAAACATATGATTATGTTAAATATAATAATACTGTATCCATTACATCAAAGAATCTGGACAATAGATTCCTCGATAAACATGCTATAAACCATAATAACATAAGTAAAGCCAATGAAGAACTCAACACAAAAGGTTGAGTGGTTAATACTACTGCAACGAACATTTTAAATGAAGTATCACTAGGGAACTAATTCAACATTATACCTAATAGATAATAATAATAATAAGGCTTAGCGAACATGAAGGTTCGATGCTGATACCACCAATCGAGTTATCATCTTGCGCCATGAATCTCCTAAAGCAGTCTCTACCCGGAGACCCGGGGACTAGTTTGCTTCCGGATAATGAGAGTTTTACTTTATGAGGATCCATGACTGTTTGGTATTTGGTGAACTATAAATATGTGAGTAGGGCATTCAATCCTACGTCACACCCTCCAGCAAGTCTGGAGGGCCCCTCCCATAGTTGGCCAGCGAGTCCATCGGACCTAGCCAGGAGGAACTTCTGAGGAATTTCCTCTGACCATCCCCACATCTGCCACCCGTGGGACTCTACCCTACATGGTAATGAGCCCGCGCGAGGACCTAATAGATATAACCAGAAAATAGTAAATATAATTGCAGGTGGTGAAAATATAATTAGAACAATAACAAACTGGATAATCATAAGGTCATAGAGATAGAGATAATGATAATAAGAAATAGAGTAAATATTACCTGTACCACTACAACCCATGAAGGGTCTTGGGTACATTACTATTTAGGGAAAGCACTGTTTCTTGGTCTATGGTTGTGCAAGGATGTGATCTGACCAAGATCATGCTCAACCGCCAGGTTTTCCCCCTTAATTATTTCAATTAAGGATACCCACTTTATAGAGGCTGGGCGTGCCCCAGGAGTGTCTCGCCCCATGGCCAATGAAATAGAATAAATATTTTTTCTGTCATGAGCCGGGATTGGAACCTGGGACCTTTAGCATTGGAAGCTCAGTACCCTACCACTGAGCTATCCTACTCCCTTAGAGTAAATATTATACACCAAAATAGAAGAAAAGAATATTGAGAATTAATAGATAACTTTACTAACAAGTGTTATTCTTTCATATATAAAAAAAGTCTTGAAGTTGATTGGCACAGTCATTTGCTCTACGGATAGATTTAATCCAGTAGTGACGAACAGAACAGTGAATTATGTTCAGTTTATGAACGACCTGGTAGGTTCCAATGGAAGGTTGACACTACTCAGTTCCTTGGCCACCCCTGGTTTCCTTAAGGTTGCAGTAATGTTGGAATGCTTGTTCCCTTCTGTTAAATTCCTATTCTATTATCTTAGGCAGCTTCCTTTCATATGAACTTACAACAGTATAAGAAGTTGCAGTTACCAAAGTCTTCTGAAACTAGCTCAAAACACAAACTTTTAACTTCCAATCTTACTAACATTATGAATCAGATTCAACTTATTGCAACATTACACTCATTTATTTAATTTTATGATTATAAAATCTTACAAGAATAAAATCTTCCTCATGAAGACATATCCTACAGAAACATACCAGTACCTAATAAAACCAATACAAACCACTAGGTTCAATTGAATTTTCTACAGTTGGGCATCAGAGAAATGACCAATTTGGACTGGTGAGTTTTCATGAAAACATTTTTTTTCTAAGAGATTTTTTATTTTTTTTATTAGTGTTTGCCCTGAGTACGTCGACCCCTAATGGGTCCATTGTGTGCCAATTTCAGTTAGTCGTTTTTAATTAAAAGGGATTCTTAGATAAATAGAAACAACACAGCACAAAAGTGGGAAATCTTTCTTGTCATCATGGCTATTTCTACACGGTTTATATTCAAATTTTGTTTTATATTGATATCATATATATAAATCATTAAATGTTTATTAATAACAGAGCTACCATTTATAAAACCGCATATATATATGTATATATGTATGCAGTTTTATATATATATATATATATATACTATCAGAGTTCGCAACTTCCGATGCCTGTTCAGAAGTAATCAGAAAATTTCGACCATGCTCAAATTTTTATTAAAATTGTCATTTAAGCCCTATTAGAATATATCAATGAGGATAATACGTGCTTGATATTAGGTTGATAGGAAAACTCAGAATCTTTGAAACATTTTTAATCAAAACTAGAACTTTTATCTTTAATTAACTTTGTTTCATTAAATACATTTCGAATAGTACATAAAAATTGATAAGAAATTTAAATTATGAATAAAAGAAAGAAAAATGATACTACTACACAAATGTCTTTCATCGGTAGGACAAGATCTCATGATCACACCACAAATAGAATCTCTGAGAATGGCTGAGTATGTTCAAAAGTAAACAAAAGTGAGAGAACCTCACGACCTCCACTGAAACGAATCCATTGGGGAGGGAGGGGCGGTAAGAGGGGTGTCAATTCTTTTAGAGTGATGTAATTAGAAATAAATTGGGGAGAGGAGGTTTGTTTATCCTTTTAGAGCGATGTAATTAGAAATAATTAACACCTCGATTTTAACTAGTAAGGAGTTTGTCAAATCATAAATCACAATCTAAATAAGGGGTGGTTATACAGTGAATACATAGTCAATCCATGACAATTCTCAGATTCCTAATAAAATTGTTTAGGACCATAATAATGAACAAGGATCATGGCCCAACGCAGAAGGTGAAGTGACATTTGTACAGTACAACCAGAAAAATCCATAAGACAGAGAATTAAAAACATTTCTGACTTTCTATAACTATGTTTAGATAATATTTACATGAAATAATTTTCAATTTTAAGAATCTACTTCTTCAAATTATTTACTTGTACAAGTCATGACACTATCTTATTCAGAATAAGATAAAAAAAAATACATTAAACTTGTTACACTGTTCGGAAATTTGAAGAAACTTAAAATAAAGTTATAAAATAAAAATGTAACATTAGTTACTTGTACTGAGATTGGACTCAAAATCATTGACATATTCAGGCAATGAAAAAAATGGAAGCAATAATAATAATTATTTAGGATACATCAAATTTCTACATAAAAAAACAACAAAGCCAAAGCCCTCACCACATCAATGAAAAATTAGGGAAATAAGTGAATTTAAAAGTATAAAATACAGCAATTTGACTTAGTATGAAATGTAAAATTCAGTTTGTTTTACAAGAGCAACTTATTGTCAAATTTTAAAATTTGTATATCAACTAATAAGCAGAGAATATACAAACGTAGCAGCAATATTTGACAAATCAAATAGCTGGAAATGTCACAGTTACATTAAACACTAAAGTTATTCACTATTTCTTGCTCTGCTGTAAAAAAAAATTTAATTAACAGCTACACTTTACCAGAATAAGATTAGGAAATGTCTCATTAGCACAACAGTTGATGCAAATTGATCCCTCTGTTTCAATACACAATTTTTAAGAGATTCACAAAAGAAAAAGAGCTGTCCAAACAAAATGATTCACAAGTGGGCAGTAGAATAATTAGTTTACTTTGAGGAAATACATAATAGAAGATGTAAACATTAATAAACTAAACCAAGATAACATTAAAGACAAACATCTAGGATGAGAATAAATTAGATATCTACCTCCAAGTTGCTATTGATACTTTATTGTGTTTTCATTTGGTTCTACCAAGAAGTAGGCGAGATTCGTTTGCAAAAATATATATAAAATAAGGTAGTAACACGGATAAGTTGGAAGGCTTAACATGATTCATTCATTACACTTCCATTCATCGCAGGCGAAAAGTTTTGAATGTAATAACGTCATCTATTGAAATGGGCAAAGTCGTTCCTTTTTGGAAACCGGTTCTGCCCTGATCGTTCCTTTTAGGACCCGTTCCTTTTTAGAACCCGTTCCTTTTGTTCGTTCACTAACCGCTCCTTTTAAGAGGTATAGAAGTAAGACTATGGGTCGAAACGTCGGCAAATGTTAAAATAAATATTATTATTTCTTTTTGCCATTTTTATTTTGACTGATCACCCCAACCATCCTTCTCTTAATTATATAAGTAAGATTTGTTAACAGTATTTTTTCTCCCAACAATTATTCTTTATTATATTATGAAGTTCAGGGATCTACTTTCATATCTCATCTTCAGACTAGAAATTAGAATATTATTGTTATTTATATTTTTATACTATCAATACAATATTTTTTATATAACTTCTAACAACATTAACAGAAATTGCCAATCTTGCCAGTAACTCATCCTAATATACTGTTAATTTTTGTAAGATCTGTCATAATTATTTTTAATTTTTATATTGTCATCATTCATTTCTAAAATGCAATAATTATATGTTTTATTATTACTATTTATATGTATGTAGCAAGTTTCTATAATGAATTTATTGCATTCCTTTTATTTTTTAAAATCCCGTTTACCTGGGGAGGAGGGGCACTAGCGGATCCAGGATTTAATTTTGTGGGGCTTCAGTCTTTTTTTTATCGTACATATAATGATAATTATTTTGAAAAAAAAAAAAGATAGAATCTATATGAAATGGTGTTTAAGTGATTCTTGAAGTCCTATTAAATTTAATTTCAGGAACAATGATACTTTAAGTGATAATTTTTAATATTTTTTTCCGTAAAATAAGGTTATATTTTACCACGGGCGGATCTACGGGGGGGCTTTCGGGCTGAAGCCCCCCCAAAATGGAAAAATATAACGATGTTTTATGGGAAATTTTTTTTAAAAAATATCTCTTAAAGTATTATTGTTCGTGTAATTACATTTAAAAGTACTTTAGGAATAACTTAAACACCATTTCATATAGGTAGTTAGTTTCTTTCTGTTTTTCCAAAGTAATTATCGTTATTTTTATGAAAAAAAAAGGTTTCGGGCTGAAGCCCCCCCCCCCAAAATTAAATCCTGGATCCGCTAGTGTATTTTACCATTTTGGGGCCTCCAGACAGATCCCCTGCCTGTGTGGAAGGGGGTACAGTGACAGTTACATGGATGACAGCATTAACAAAGTCAGCTAGGAAATATTGATGGACTAAGGTTAGAAGGACCTACATAAATTAGCCCCACTCATCAGTTTATTACCTGTTATTGTATTACCTGTAATATAATATAATCATCACTTGTATAGTTTATTGAACTCTTTCATAGTTAATAATTGTTTAAGTAAATAAGAGATTAATATCGAAAAATCAGTGAAACTTTGTCATTTTCATAAAATTTGAAGAAAATGATATGCTGTAAAACTGTACAATAATTACATTATATTTACAGTAGTGGTATACTGCCCCACTATAGACCATAGATTGTGGGATAAGTGACTGACCTAACCACTAGCAAATCCAGAGGTGGGGGGGCCATGGGTCCTGCCTGGATGGTGGGAAAAAATTTATCTTAAAGAAGTAACTAACAACCGCCCTTTATAATATCCTTATCTTTATTGAAAAGTGAATTGTATCGAACAAGTAATGTTTATTTATACTTTGTACTAAAAAACAACGAATAATTTATAAATTCTGAATATTTACAGTAAAAATTCTTCATTTATTGAAGAAATATCTGTATATTTACATATATTTTCAGCGTATGAAATTATTTCGCCACTCCTCCCCTCCTTAAGAACATTCTTGGAACCCAAAAAATAATATAATTTGGTTTTTATGGTGATTTACTAGTGGTAAAACCAGCTGTTTTACACCCTATTTTTTTTTTCAACCACTACAATGTTTACAAAAATAAAAGATATTTGTCATACTTGGGAATTGCCTCCAAAAATTGAAAATAAACATAATCTAAAAAAGGACATTTCCTCAGTTCCACACTGTTGAGACTGTATTACTAGGAGAGAAATCTGTCACCAGTATATGAGGCTTTCCTCTTTATTTATATCACGCTTTATATCACTTTTATTTCAAAATAGCAAATTTAAATTAATGTGCTGACAAAACCTAAAGTTTGGGTTTTTACTATTATAATAAACTTGACAAGAGTATAAATATGAGTGATGATATTAATTTTTTAACTAAACAATTTACAATTACATGTTGATAGATAGGAATGCTTCAATTTTGATAAAATTTAAATTGAATAAACATTCGAGCAACTACATTATCTCAACATGTTTTCAATTACAAAAATATGAAAAACATTAATTCTACCTCACTGTCACATTCAAGAATAACATAGCATTATAAATTTCAATAGATAAATAATCAGGAAGCAGTCATTTTTGAGATTTTTTGGTGTTGCCAACATTTCAACCCAAACATTTGGTTCATCAACAACACTAGCGGATCCAGAATTTAATTTTTGGGGAGGGAGAGGGGGGGGACTTCAGCCCAAAACCTTCTTTTTTATATATATATAAATATAACGATAATTACTTTGGAAAAAAAAGAAATATACTAACTACCTATATAAAATGGTGTTTAAGTGATTCTTGAAGTCCTATTAAATGACATTACACAAATAGTAATACTTAAAGAGAAAATTTTTTTTCATGAAACATGGTTATAGTTTACCATTTTGATGGGGGCTTCAGTCCGAAATCTTCACAATTACAGGACACTTTAATTTGGTGGTATACATAGTCACTTTTCCTCTTCCTACAATGAAAAAAAAAACACATAGTAAATAGAAGAATTAACATTGATTTTCAACAATTGCTGTTGATAAAAATCATTTTTGACAATTTTTAGGCTCCTAACCAACTTCTTTTATCCGTCAATGTTTGCCCTGCCTTATAAAAACTTCTTTCACAGGGCACTGAGCTGGCTGGCACACACACTGGCAAAGAACACTTGCGCAAGATATTTGTCTATTTCTACAATCACCATCGCTCGGGAATCGTTGACTTGATTAGTTGCTGCGATTTCATCGTCAAACTCTTCCCAAATATTCAGAGAGGTTTTGTGGCAAAATTTGGTTCTGTACTTTCAGTTGATTGGGATGTTAATAAAATTGTCTCTTTATTAATTATTTCTTTTTCAAAAATTATTAATTGCTTTATTTTCTTTAAAATTCCCTCACGTGCCTGATTGTATTTAGTGCTTCCACTTCTGAATTCTTTATTTTTTAATCAAGAATCAATAAATTTCGCTTGCCCTATTATTTCCGGCACATCTCTTAATAATTTCTCTTCTGCTGCATTTAATAATATGTCACACTGATTACTGCTTCAGGTGAACTATCCTTTTCTTTATACTTCTGTAAAAATGAGATAAGTGACCTATTTAAAACTTCAATCTTAGGCAATGAGATTGATTTTTCATTACTAACTTCTTTAGTGTATACATAAAATATTTCGAGTATCTTTGCTCTTTGTCGACGATTTTGCAATGCTATACAGAGCAAAGGTATCCTCTCTATTAAAAAGAAACTCCAAGATGCACTATGTAGAATTGACAGTTGGTCTGAATCATCAGGATTGCAATTCTCCGCTAACAAAACAAAATGTGTACTCTTCAGCAGAAAACGAAAACCACTATAACCACCAGACTTTTATCTAGGAGATGTTAAATTACCATACACTGATAACTGAAGATTATTGGGATTGTTATTAGATAGGGGTTTGTCTTGGAAACATCACATTAAGTCACTAAACCAAAAAGTGCTCTAGAAAACTCAAGATATTAACGGTACTAAGTGGAACAAAGTGGGGAGCAGACAGCAATACAATTCTAAAAGTGTACCAAGCGTTAAGAGGTTCTAAGGTAGATTATGGCAGTTTTGTTTACATCTCTGCTCTTAAAAGTAGTCTTGCCAAGCTTGACTCTGTGCACCACACAGGAATACCCCTCGCTACTGGAGCCTTTAGGAGTAGTCCAACACATAGTCTCTGTATTGATTCAGTCTTACTACCTTTCTCTTTTAGAAGACAAAAATTAGCAATAAATTATATAACAGTGTACCCACAAACCATACATCCTGCCTACAAATACATTTTTAAATCTAAATTTTCTACAAAATTTGAACAAAAGAATAATGCAACACTACCATTAGCAGAAAAGAGGACATTCGTCACACCTGATGTAACCTATAAATGCAAACTACATCCACTTTGTTCCATATATATTGCTGAGATTAATGCTATCACGATGACTCTACACCATGTGATAAATTCGCAAGTTGTAAATGTGGTTGTGGTATCAGATTCTTAGAGCTCCCCTATAAGCCTTGAACAACATGTATCCAGACCACCTAGGAATATATAGTATTTTGGGACTTGTAGAACAGCTGAATGACTTTGGTATATTATTATATATTATGGGATCACCAAATACACTCATATTTTTAATATTGAAAGTAACAATAACTGTAGAGGAAAACCATATTTCAATTATATACTTGAAATCACTGACTTCTAAATAATACTTTTATTAGCTGATAGCTTCAAATTATCTTCTATAACCAAGTTTAAAACTTAATTTCCATCTTTTTCTTTCATTACCACTGATTACAAAGGAAAATTAATAAAATAAAGTAAACAATTAAAAGATTAAGTCATTTTCGAAACCTTTATAAGCCAAATCAACTCAGTAATAGGTGATTTAAGAGGATTTCTCATAGAAAAAAAATGAGTTCTGTTGATGCAGAACACATAATTCATTGTCACAATATTAAAGATAGTATTCTTAAGAGGTTTATTGTATTTAGACTTAAGATAAATTCAATTAGTAAAAAGAATTTCCCCTCATATGTCTGTTTTTAGCAGTAAATCTGTAAATGTATATGAGCAGCATTTATAAATCTAATTTTTCTT